GCTCGGTGCTGGGCGAGGCCGACCAGAGGGGGTCCCTGGTGGCACCGGACAGGCTGCGCTTCGACTTCACGGCCAAGGGAGCCCTGTCCACCCAGGAAATCAAGCAAGTCGAAGGGATTGCCAACCAGATGATCGAGGAGTCAAAGGTGGGTGCGGCTGACAGGTTGTACACCCGGAGCCCGGCTTTTGGATGATCTGGGGTGCTGGGAGTTTGGCGTGCAGGAGTCTTCTGTGCACAGCCTGGCATCGCCTCAGAGGGTTCTGAGCAAGAAAACACCATGTAGATTGTTCTGTTCGTTGGTCCCAGGCCCTCTCTAGGGTTGGAGTGTTCCCATTAGCTAAAAGAGCCAGGAAGTTTGGCAGAGAAGTTTTGCAGGCCTGGCTGGATTTACAGCATACACCCAGACAACCCAGTGATGCGTCACCCGTGGCGAGAGAGCTGCTCTGTCTGGTGCCAGGCCTGTGTCAGAGCAGACCCTGGAGGACACTATGCTGTGCTCAGGAGCCTGTGCTTGGAACCATTTGCACGTACAGTAGCACAGGGAGTCTGAACAGGTGGTATGGGGAGTTTTGAACATGGGACATGTGCCAGTGCCTTTGGAATCCTTGCAGCTCAGCAAACCCCAGCTTGGGTGAGGCACAAGGCTTCACTTTTAGCATCTTCCAGAGAAAGTCAGGGTTCCCAGGGAATGTGGGTCGTCAGAGCTGATAGGACCTGCTCTTACCCACATCCCTTTCCTGTCCTCTGCAGACTGTGTATGCCAAGGACTGTCCTCTCGCAGCAGCCAAAGCTATCCAAGGACTGCGGGCAGTTTTTGACGAGACCTACCCCGATCCCGTCCGTGTGGTCTCGATTGGCATCCCTGTGGAGGAGCTGCTGGCTGACCCCTCTGGCCCTGGGGGCTCCATCACCTCAATTGAGTTCTGTGGAGGCACGTGAGTATCTGGAGAGGCCAGGGAAGGCTGATAAGGAGTCCCTGCGGAGCCCGGTCCCTGCTGGGAGTGCTGTGGGTACGTGCAGGGCACAGCCAGGGCAGAGCTGGAGGTGGTGGTGATAATGCCTTTGCATTTCCACTCCTCAGTCAATCCATTTTTAAAATCAGGCTGTAACTGCCTGTATTGCCCTGCCTACAGGCAGGGTCTCTGGCAGTGCTGGGAGCACAGCCCTTGCCACCCTTTCCTCGCTCGTTTGCTTTTTGCAGCTTGATTGGGTTTTCTGCCTGTCCCCACACTTGCTGCATCTCCCTGGCAAGGTGGTTGTCTTGTTTCTGTCCTGATTCCTGCTGAGATGAGAGCTGGACTTCTAACTCTCTCCTGTGGGTCTGTCTGGGTTCTTTCCAAAGGCACTTGCAGAACTCCAGCCACGCTGGCCCCTTTGTGATTGTTTCAGAAGAAGCCATTGCTAAAGGCATTCGGAGGATAGTTGCAGTCACCGGGGCTGAAGCTCGGAAGGTAAGGGGAGGCAGGAGAGATCCTCTGAAACTCCCACATAATAACCCAATGCCAGACTTCCTTTTGTTTGAATTTGCACAGTATCCCTGTCAGCACCAGGGAGAATTGTCTGAGGGACTCAGGGAAAAGGGTACTGCTGTTGGCAGAGGCTGGGCTGGAGGCCCCTGCTGTGCTACAGTCAGAGAGAGCAGGGAAGAAGGGGAGAAGTCTCGGCTGTAGGTGTTGTATCAGTGTGGCAGGCTCTGGGAATAGAAGAATAGGTTGCTTAGCAGAATGGGCTGCAGATGTAGAGCTCTCAGCAGCTGGCAAGGCTGGCAGGAGAGTGGTGAAGTCTGAGAACCCAGTCCTCTGCTGCTGGGCTAGCAGATCCTGGGCTCGCTTGGGCTGGTGCTTCCCAGAGTGGGAGAAAGGGGTTTGTAGGGGAGATAGTTTCCATTGTTGAGGATCTTTCTTTTGCTTCTGGCAAAGAAAGAGTCCTGGGGCCTCTCTGCCAGCATCACACCCTGCTTCTGGTCAAGTGCTGCCTGCTTTGGCTCTGTCTTCTGGAGGAGTTACTCAGCTCCATCCTGGGGCGCGCCATCATTCCTCACCCCTTCTCACCCTGGGGTGGTCAAGAGCCCAGCCTGCTCAATCTTCCTGCATGATTTAACCTGGATTGTTTTCTGCTAGGCCCTCAGGAAAGTCGACAGCCTCAGGAAACTGCTGTCAGCCCTGGAGGCCAAGGTGAAGGTCCAGACAGCTCCCAACAAGGATGTGCAGAAGGAGATCGCGGATCTCGGTGAGGTGAGGATGGTAGCAGTGCTCTGCCTCCCCAGTGTGAATGGGACCTTGATTGCCAGCACTGGGTTGCATTAATGGGGTCCATATTCACCTTCCTGCTCCTGTCTGGCAGCCCTGAATCCCATGGGTGCTACAACCAGCACCTCCTGACTGGGTTGTTGGCCCTGGGAGAGGAGCGGGGCTTATGGGGCTCTGCTGGTTGAGGCACTGAGGTTCGTGAGGTGCAGCATCTCCTGTGGTTGCTGGTACCTTTAACCCTCTCCACCTGCTCTTTTGCAGACTCTGGCCACTGCTGTTATCCCACAGTGGCAGAAGGATGAGCTGAGAGAGGCTGTTAAAGCACTCAAGAAAGTTATGGATGACCTGGACCGTGCAAGTAAAGCCGACATCCAGAAACGGGTGAGCCCTGGGCTGGAATAAAGGATAGCGTGGGAGGGCTGCAGGGCTGTGGGTGTGTTAGGGGACCTTGGGGGCCTCTGTACCTGCAGGGGAAGCTCTGCCTGTGTGGTTCTTGTGTCCATACACACTGTGGGTGCTCTAGTGTCTGACCGCTGTTGTCCCCAGGTGCTGGAGAAGACCAAGCAAGTCATTGAGAGTCACCCTAATCAGCCATGGGTCATCATGGAAATGGAAAATGGAGCCTCAGCAAAGGTATGGGGAAGGCCTGATTTCTCCTCAACAACCTTCCTTGTGCCTGAGGAACAGCTGGGTGGTCTCTGCTCACTCGGGAAGGCAGTGCAGTCCCACAGAGCTGTCTTTCTTCAGACCTGCCATACCTGAGGAGGGGAATGGACTGCTGGGGCATTCTCTGCATCCCACCTCCTGTGCTAACACATGAGTTTGCAGGGGTGGGTGGGGTCTTGACCACTTGCTGAGCTTCCGGACCTGGTGGTGGATAGGAACCCCAACAGAAGTGCCATTGTGTCCCTCAGCAGTCCCAACACTGAAATGCAGGCTTAAGGGGACTCAGAACTGCAGCTCCTCCGAGCAGTGGAAGTCATGATGTTTGTGGCCCCTGCAGATCAGTTGTCCTGGGCTGGGGATGTGGACAGGGTCGGGCAGAGAACTGCCCCCCAGCTCCTGGGCACTGTCAGCTACAGCCAGGGCTGAATCTGCTCCTTCCCTCCTCCACACACAAGTTTCTTTCCAGGGAGTTTCTATTGGAATAACTGCTCCCTCGTGTGCACTGTGCCGCAGTGCTGAGCCCAGCAAGTGCCAGGCAGCAGGGACTGATCGTGCCTGGGGCTGGACCGCTCTGGTTTTAACGCCCTGTTGAAATTTCCGCTCCGGGAGTCTTGGAGCTGATCCTGCCCTCTCTCTGTGGCCCTCTCCATCACCATGGTGCCCACGCTCACAGTGGGTGCCATGGCAGAGTTCTCCCTGGCAGAAGGGTGCATCCCAGGGGATGGCAGTGCTGGCAGCCTGGGGAGCTGCGTGTTCCCAATCCACCCAGAGCAGCGCTGCTTTGCTTGCCAGAGGACCTGCTCTGTGCTGCATCGCGCTGTCTGTGTGAACAAGGGATGATGCTCTCCTTGGGAATAGCGGGAGGCATGGCAGTGTCCCCGTTTCTTCCCGTGTGCCTGCTGTGTCTGTTAACCCTTGCAGCCTCTTCATGCTGTTTTTTGAGTTCTCCTGAGTCGCTTTGGAACAGCTGCTCCCTCCTGCTGGGGGCAGCTTTCTACCCTGCAGCCAGTACACTTGGGAATGGTTCACTCTGGGGCAAGTTCTGCCGGTTCCTGGATAACCAAAGGTGGAGAAATAAAGGTGCTTTCTCCTTCCTGCCTCGGGACACAGCCGGGGCTTGTGTCACCTGCCAAGGCTTCTACACTGTGAAGGATGTGAAGATGGATTGTGTTGGGGAGGAGTAGCACAGCAAGGTGCTGCTGGCTGGTTTTGTGCCAGTCTGGATCCCTGAGTTCTCCGTGGGTGCCATGGGGGCTGGAGGTGAGCTGGGTGTGAGTGCAGGGAAGATGTGCTGCAGTAATTTTTTTCTCTTACAGGCCCTGAATGAATCTCTGAAGCTCTTCAAGACTAACTCCCCCCAGACTGCTGCCATGCTCTTCGCTGTGGATAATGAAGCTGGCAGGATCACCTGCCTGTGTCAGGTACCCCAGGTAATGCTGAGACTCTGTATCTGCCTCTCCCTGAGCCTTCCTGGAGATGCAGCCTCCAGACAGGAACTATCTAGTTCCAGAGCCACAACCTTCATGCTCTGGCATATCACCAGGCTACAGAAGTGTGGGGAAAGGGTTGTGCTGTGCAAATGGGGAAGAAGGGTCAGATCTTAACATGGTGGGAGGCATGGGGCAGGGAGACAGCTGCTCTTCCCTCAGTGCTGACCAGTGGTTCTTTTCTCTCTTTCCCTGCCCAGGAGACTGCAAATAAGGGCCTGAAGGCCAGCCAGTGGGTGCAGGAGGTGTCTGGCTTGATGGACGGTAAAGGCGGTGGGAAGGACATCTCTGCACAGGCAACGGGCAAGAACGTGGGCTGCCTGCAGGAAGCCTTGAAACTGGCCACGGACTTTGCTAGGCTCCGGCTGGGGGAGCTGAAGAACTGACCGAAGGGGGGGTCCCCGGCCCCCTTTTCCTCCTGTCTGTCCCCTGCGCGGTTTTCCTGTCAATAAAGGTTCCCTGCCCTGCTCGCCGCGGCCCTGCTGTGCTGGGGGAGCGAGATGGGAGGGGAGGGAAGGGGATGGGATCCTCCTCCTCCTGCCCGTCACAGCCCGTGCCCGTCCCCGCCTCCTCGCCGTCCCCGCCCCGTGCCCGCCCGCCGCCGCCGACCATGCCGCTGGATCACCGCCGCCTGTGCGGCCCGGAGGAGTCGCAGCCGCCCGCTCTGTGGGCAGCGCTCGCGGCCGAGGATGAGGACGAGGAGGGTGCGGGGGCCGCGCCGCGGGACCCCTGCTCCCTGCGGCCGCTGTTCGCGCGGGCCGGGCTGCTGAGCCAGGCGCAGGGCTCGGCCTACGTGGAGCTGGGCAGCGGCACCAAGGTGCTCTGCGCCGCCTGGGGCCCGCGGGAGGCGGCCGAGCCCGGCCCGGGCCGGTTGCTGTGCGAGTTCCGCCGGGCGCCCTTCGCGGGCCGCGGGGCGCGGGGCCGGCCGGGCGGGCTGGCGGAGCGGGAGGCGGAGCGGGAGGCGGCGGCGGCGCTGCGGGAGGCGCTGGAGCCGGCGGTGCGGCTGGGCCGGTACCCGCGGGCCCGCCTGGCGGTCAGCGCGCTGCTGCTGCAGGACGGGGGCTCGGCGCTGGCCGCCGCCGTCAGCGCCGCCGCCCTGGCGCTGGCGGATGCCGGCGTGGAGATGTTCGACCTGGCCGTGGGCTGCGCGCTCTGCCGCCCGCCCGCCTCCACCGCCGCCCCCGCCGCCTCATGGATGCTGCAGCCCGCGGAGCCCGAGGAGCGCCGCGCCGCCGCCCGCCTCACGCTCGCCCTGCTGCCCGCCCTCAACCAGGTGTCGGCCGTGCTGGGCGGCGGACAGGGCGGCCCCCCCGAGGACTGGGCGCAGGCCCTGCGGCTCGGCCTGGACGGCTGCCACCGGCAGTACCCGGTGCTGCGGCAGAGCCTCCTGCGGGCCGCCCAGCGCCGCGATGCTGCTGCTGCTGCTGCTGCTGCAGCCGCTGCCTCTGTGGCCTGAGCGCCCCTGAGACCCGGGTGCCCCGGTGTGGGCACGGGATCGTCACCCAGAGCTGCCGGATACCCCTGGAGCCTGCCTGATCCGCGCCTCGCTGTTGGGGATTGAAATAAGTTTACTTTCAGAACATTAGGAGTTTGTTAAGTTTAATTATAACTACTGGAGACCACCACGGATCCACCCTGTTCCACACCTCATGCTGCCAGAGACCCTGGACCCAGCCTGTTCCATGCCTCGTGCTTCTGGAGACCCTCCTGAGCCAGCCCTTGTGCTGCCATAGACCCCGCGGTGCTGCTCACACAGCTGAAGGCCCAGGAACTCTGATGAAGGACACTGGAGTTTCCCCCCACACACCACTGGAGAGCCCCAAAAAGCGTATCTGAGGAGTCGCTGCATGGCAGAACATTCCTAACTGGCACCACAGGGCCCAAACAAGCCTGGTGTGCTGCTGGACCACCCCAAGTACTGCTGGCACTGCGGGACCCCCACGTCTCACCTTGGAGTGGTCCTGGCACCAGGCTGAGACCCTCACGCTGAGCTCCCCACCACAAGCATCCATGCAGGCCGGGTCCAGTCACCCCTGGGCAGGAACCACACTGTGGCATAGACTTTGCGTCCCTTGGGCCTCCTGCCCAGGCAGTGCTTCAGGGCAGCAGAGTTGTGTTTTGTTGGTTTTTTTTTCATAGTAATAAATCATTTATTTTCTGGTGAGTCTTCTGCCTGCACGGCTCTGCTGGGCCCTCTGCTAGCCAAGGGCAGAGGTGGAAGGAGACACTTCCATGATTGGGGTCACCCCCTGCTTCTTCTCCCTCTGTCCTTCCTTGAGTGGTGCAGGTGGGTGCTGGTTGGGATCTGGTTATTCCTGGGGATGGAGCAGAGCAGAGCAGCCAGTCCTGTCTGCCCAGCTACACCGTGGTGGGCTGGTAGGGAATATTCTGGGTATTTTCCATGGGAAACAGGGCAGAGCTGTGCTCCTGCCTCTGAGCTGAGCTGCAGGAAAGGCAGCATCAGGAAAAGCCAGGGACTGTGTCTGGCAGCACACGGAATCGGGTGCAAAAATTAAATGAGCACTTTAGACAGTTAGAAACTGCACCGGAGTTAAATAACCAGAGAAAAGAAATACAAATTATTTTTCTTTCCAACACGATACACTCTTTTACCAGAGCAAGTTAGAAATACAGAACAAGTTCCTACCAGTGAGAGAAGGACAACCAAGAAATGAGGGACAGGGAATTTGATGCTGGAGGGTACGGGGGGACCAGGACTCCTCGGGTGCAGGTGAGAGGACCCTGGTAAAGCTCTCACAGGAGTCCTGCTGACTGCAAACGTGATGCCTGGACAAGAACAGCCCGTGGAAAACACATTTGGGAGCAGGGGCGAATGGGAGAGGTTGGGTTGGCATTGCCCTGCTGCTGGTTGGGCAGCTCACATCAGAGCTAGGTGTGGCACCGTCCCAAAATCCCGCAAAAACCTCATGGAGATGGCTTAGGGTGGTTCCTCCTTCCTGTGGTGGCTCAGAAAGCTGCCATGGGCTGTGCCTGTGCCTGCTGCACCAATTCCCAGCGGGGTCTGACGGTTGGGATGTGACCTGTGCCATAGGGATGGGAGCCCCGGGCTGCTTTCTCTGTGCCCCACAGCACCCTGTGGGTGAGGTGGTGCTGGCAGCAAGGCAGGTGGGATTTGGGTTGCTCCTTTGGGACATGGTCCTTTTCTTTTTGTTTTTGCTCCTGCCCTCCCTCCCCTGGCCACCTCTGCTTAACCCTAGGTATGACAACAGGAAGAAGAAGAAAACAAGTGCACTGGAACACAAAAACTTCTCTCACCCCAGCCTGGCAGCAACTCCCAGGGTGGGACACGGGGCTGCCGGCGGCAGGGGATGGCTGTGCCAAGAGCGGGCACGTCGCGTTGTGCGTGGCTGGAAGCCTCAAAAAAAAATAATGAACACAAGTTGGGAAGGACTGGCCACACGGGAGGGCCACAGCATCCCTGTCCGGCTACTGGCTCCCCTCGGGATCTGACATGTGGGTTTTCACCTGTGAGGAGAAACACACGGCACGGTTGTCCTTTGTGCTGTCAGCAGGGTCAGACCCAGCGCCCTGCCCGGCACGGGGATCCCCGGGATCCCACACCCAGCTGGGGGATGTGGGTGGGGGAGCAGCACCTTTGATAAAAGGTATTTCTGCTCTGAGGGTCTTTTTTGCAGCCTCAGTGCAGAGTTGATTCACAGCCAGGGGTGCTCGGGGCTGTCCCAGAGGCACCGGCAGTTTTAGCCCTGGCACCCAGCTGGAATGGCTTGGGCAGCCCTGGTGGAGCCTCTCATCTACTCCAGGCATCCCCCACCGGCAAGCAGGGGTGGGTTTTAGGGAAGCAGAGAGCGCAGCACAGGATCTGGCCCTCCCCTTACCGTCTCCTCCGTGTCTGTGCTCTCCTCGGCGCTGTCGATGTTGCGCAGGTCACTGTGCCCGTCAGCTCCCGTCCCCTCCTTCCCCCGCGACTCCCGTGACCCCTCTCCTGCTGGGGATGGGGACTCTGTCCCTGGCTCTGCCCTCTTCCTCTCACTCTCCTTGGACCCTGCAAAGGCAGAAACAGCAGAAATCTGGGGTACCTGTGCAAACATCAGCCCTGTCCTCACTGCGTTCCCTTGTGCCAAAGGGCTGGTTTTTTACTTCCCCAGCCCAGGGAAGGGGAAGGATGTAGGGAAGCTGCCCAGCCAGCTCTGGATGTCCTGGGCACACAGGGGGGGACCCCTTACAGCCAGCTCAGGGTCCAGGTTCGCCTGTGCCCTCAGGTTGCCCAGCACGGACACACGAGTGTTGAAGGGTCTGGGCCCGTCCCCTCACCCGTGAGACGCTCTCTCCTCTGGTCCATGCGGTCCAGGCTCTCCAGCAGACTGTCCACCTGTGCCTTGATCTGGCTCAGCTCCCCCTTGATGGAGTGCAGCTCTTCGGCTCGCACTGCAGGGAGAGGAGTCGTGAGGAGCCCACCCAGAGCAAGGAGGACACGCCATCCTCCTCTGAAGCATCGCACTCTCTGGAGCATTCCCCCCCTCTGCAACATTCTCCTTTAAGAAAGATACTCCTTACCAGACATCCTTGGGGAACAGGAATGGACCCAGGGGACAGTCACCAGCCCAATGTAGCCCAGGCTGTGTCTGCTGGAGCTGGGGACTCACAGCAGCAGGGTCAGCACTCACCGAGACATGAGGGCTCAGCCTCTTCTTTCTCCCAGCCCTGTCACACTTACACTTTGTCCTTCCCCCCGTGGAGCTGGTGCTGCTCCTCGTCCCGGGCTGGGGACTCAGGCTGCTCTTGCCTCCTGCTCCCAGGTGAGTCCTCCTGGTCTTGACCGGGATGCGGTTAATGAGGGGCGGGATCTTCTGGTACTCATAGACCCTGCAAGGGCACAGGAGCACAGAGGCACGAGCACAACCTTAGGGGGTGCAAGCAGCACCCCTTGCCAGCCAAGAGAGCAGCTCTTTGGGTCCCTATGTGGTAAAAGACCCACCCCCAGTGTGGGCACTGCCCTGCCCACATGATGCCCCATCTGCCCACTCTCCAGGCCCCCAAGCCTGCGGAAGCTGCAGCTCCTCAAAGTGGGGAAACACCACAGAACCTCTCTTGGAGGCAGGGGACAGATGCCCAGGTACACACCCTGCTTTTCCACGATCAGAGATCCAATCACACACACCAAACCCACACGTGCTCAGCTCATCCCGCTCCTGGAACACCCCACACTCACCGGTATGGGAAGTCATCCCTGTAGCGATCGTAGTCCAGGTCACAGTTACTGCTGCAGGAGGGGGAGAGAGGAGAACATGTCACTGCTTCGTGGAGCAGTCACTGCTGGGCATGGGAGGGCAGAGACACCCTCCAGCCTCCAACCCCCCCGAGCAGGAGACATCCTGGAGGATCCCCTGCAAGCTGCCTGGGCTGCAGCGTGCCCTAGGAGGTGGCTGTGCCCTGGCAGGAATCTTTCTCACGGGAAATAAGGGTGTTGGGAGGGATGGTGAGAGCCCCCTGGGCAGCATCAGCAGGGTCTGGCCTCAGGAGGCTGCCTTTAGAGTGCCCTGGTGCTAAACTCCACGTGCGTGCTGTCCTGCTGCCACCCTACCTCCTTCAGAAGTCACCTGCACAGGGCACAGCCCACAGGCACCAGCCCTCCTGGTAAGGGTGCGCTGGGGGCACTGGTGACCCGCCTGCTCCTGTGCTTTGCACGTGGGGCACAATCCTTGGGGTCTGTTTTGGGAGCTTTTGGTCCAGACTTGCTGCCTTCCAAGTTTCTGTTGCTGTGACAGGGATGGAGTGTCCTTTGCACCCCCAGTGGCTGCTGCTGCTGCTGCACGGAGCCCACACTGCAAGGGGTGGGGATGCCACAGGACACCCTGTGCCGTGGGAGAACTGATGGCACTGCAGGACACCTGGTCTTGGGGTCTAGCACCCTGTTAGGGACACAGCAAGGGGTTTCCTGGCTCAGCTCTTGGCTCAGAGAATCCCGTGGGAAGAGCAAAGGCAGTGGCTGCCACGCTCCAGCGCCCAAGGGGGCCAAGCAGTCCCGGCCCTCCAGTGCTGCCTCCCTTCAGCTCCATGGCAACAGGCAGAGCAATTAGTTCAATCAGGGCGTTCGCAAAAGAGCTCTTCTGAGGCAGAGGAGCCCGGCTCTGATCCCCACCTCGCCCCACATCCACTGAGGGGGGGAGACAAAAGCGTGCAGGGATAGGGACCTGCTCCTCTGCTATCATCAGTGCCATCAGCATCACCTACTACCATCCTCAGGGCCATCACCACCCCGTACAGGGGCGTCTGTCCCTGAGGAACAGCATTTAAAAGCCACAACTGCAACGGACTGAGGGAATTGTGGAATCCCGGAATGGTTTGGGTTGGAGGAGTCCTTAAAGCTCATCTCATTCCAAACCCCACTGCAACAGGCAGGGACACCTTCCACTAGACCAGGAAGCCCCATCCAACCTGGTCTTATGCATTTCCAGGGATGGGGCAGCCACAGCTTCTCTGGGCAACCTGTGCCAGGGCCTCCCCAGCAGGAGAAATTCCC